TTTTTTTTTTTTTTTTTTTTTTTTTAGATGAAGATGGTACATTCAAAACTCACAAAACACTGTCACAATGGCAACCCCCCCCACTTACTTATTCCCCAATTGCAAAATTTAAAAAGTTCAGTGTCCACTACTTTTAGTTCAATCAAAGCAGCATTATGCAGGTACAATTATTTCTATAGCTCATATTATTTAGTTTATTTTACATTCCTCGTTGGGGTACATGAAACAGAAGTTTACCTTTGTTGCAGAGTAGAGAGTAAGCAGAGGAGTTGGAAACATGCCACTAGCTGAGGAGATATTCAGGATTACTCCTTTAGATCTGAAAGGCAATGAAAAACACTCACTCACAAGAAATAGCACCTCTGCTTCAGTTTACATGCTTCAGAAATGTCTCAACCCAAGAGAAATACTTACTTGTAACAGAAGCTATACACATTCTTTTGTAATTTATTTTTCAAGAAGTAGTTCAGAGATTTGCAAACCTGTATTCAAACATGCTGTAGCAAGATGTTAGCTAATGTAAATAAGAGGTAATGCTATTAAAACCAAATGAATTACATCAGTGTAAAGATGAGGCCCAGCATGCGTAGGGTGTGCATGTCAACGTACTATATCCAGTTAAGGTTTTTACAGGCAATGTAACAGAAGCCCAAGCGTAGTTTTTAGATCTTGGCTAAAGTGACAGAAATAATAGCACAAAAATATATTTCAGTCTTGTATAGAAACTTCCATCAGGAAACCTGAAAGTAGTTTATGAACATTAGTTGCTCCTTTAAGGTAGCAATTAGTCATACTGACTCTTCACATTTTAGAGCATTTTTTTGTTAAACAAAACAGAAAAGAAATACACAATGGAAGTTAAGACTGCAAGTACCATATTTTGTGCCTTACATAGTTATGCTTAAAACAGAGGCATCAGTCTGGCACACCGGCTTCCCAGTGACCTGATATTTACATTCAAAACCCCATCTTAAATAATAATTGCTTGCTAAATTATATGAATATAAACATTCTCTCATTATCTTGTTACTTGCAGTGAAAAGCAAGAAAAAGTTTCCTTAGTATGGCGGCAGTCCTAAGCAAACAAAAAGATGAACCGAACTGGAAATACCCATGAAGTTTCTGCTATTAATAGACTAACGAGAACTCAAACCAATTGTATCATAACACCTCTGTTAAGTAGCTTAATGTTCCAGTAGATTGGCAAATATCCATCTTCACAGCCACATGACTACAGTGTTTGGCTGATGCAAAAGGTCCGTTTTGCAAGCACAAGGACATAAAAATGTGCCTTTTGACACAGCCTTCTAACGTAAGAAATTCCATAAAGATAACGTTTTTATTTCCGTGTTTCATGCTTAGCTCCAGAGTTCAAGATCATAGCACTATATACTCGTGTAACAGCCCTGTTGTCCCTCTAGACCAGGGCAGTCTGATTTCTGAGTGGCTAGTGACTGCATACTGCTCAGACCCCCAGTTCCCCACCCCGCAATATTCAGGCAATGGACTTCCTAGGCCCTCACCCCCTCCATGCTGCCCTGTCCCAGAAAACCTGGCCTACGAAGCAGCAGGAGTAACATAGTAACTGGTGGCTAGGTGCAAGCCCATGGGATGTGAATTAACTAGGGGTGCACTGATTTTTTTGGCTGATACCAATGACTGATTATTAACTAGCCATATCTGCCAATCCAATCTGACTGCCGATGTGGAGCCTGGCAGCTTGGAAAGCAGCATCCAGCCAGTAAGTCTGTGTTGGGGAAAGT